GAAAATTACTCTAAAACGCTTTCAAACATATGGACAATTGTAATAGTTATAATTGTAAAACTATTGGCTTACAATCACCATTATACATTAAGCAAGAAGGTAATCATCGTTATGTGCACATAAATGAATAAATGAAAATATAAAGGGTGGTATTTACATGACTTCTGTGCAAATAGTCTAAATGCATTGCCTTCATACTACCTACTTCTCTTGAGGAGTACTAGTAATTGTTGGACACAAATCTTGCCTGCTTTTGGACTCTCTCCAGCTTGTCAGTATGTTGGGCTTTGTAGGGGCCCCATACCGCTCCAGCGTATTCCATTATGAGTCGGACTACTGTGGTATACGTGCTTGTCCTAACTTCCTCAGGGCAAGCACGCAGGTTCCTTTGAAGGAAACCTACATACCTCGCTGCCTTCGATGAGTTGGTACTGATGTGGTCGTACCAGGAGAGGTCGTTGCTGATGAAAACACCGAGGTATTTGCTGTTCTCGACCTCTGCAAGATTTACACCGTTCAAGTTATAGTTTGTTTTCCGCTTGTTTCTTCGTCATGTCATGTGGATGAGGACGCATTGTTTTGGGTTGAAAGTTATCGGCCAGTCTCATGTCTACTGATGGAGAGCGTGTAAGTCGGCTTGCAGGTTGGCGCTGTCTCTGACAGAGCTGTTTGTTCGGTATATGATGCATTCGTCAGCAAATAAGCGAATCCCACAACACGCTCTTTCCGGTAGGTCGTTAATATACAACAGGAAGAGTGGGGGGCAAATCACGGTGCCTTGGGGTACTCCTGATAGTACGTCCGCTTCCGATGATTTGCTCCCTTCCACGATGACTCGTTGCTTCCTGTTGTTTAAGAAGTTCCTAATCCATGCATGTAGGTTTCCCTCGATTCCGTAGTTGTGAAGTTTGACGAGTAGTCGCTCGTGTGGGACCTTGTCGAAGGCCTTGGAAAAATCAAGAAGTACGATGTCCATCTGTTTTCCTGCATCAACGCAAAGTCGTAAACAGTCTTCACTAGCTACGTCTTACACGAGCGCCTTCTCCGGAATCCGTGTTGAGTGTCTAATAGTGTTTGCTCGTCGTCCATATTTTGCATGACGGAGCTGTGTATGATGTGTTCAATCAACTTTGCCGTTGAGCAAATTGAAGTCAGCAATACCGGTCTGTAGTTTGCAGCAGTGGAGCAGTCCCCTTCTTGAAAAACCGGGACTACGTGTGCCATTTTACATGCCCCTGTTACTGTGGCGGAGGTAAGCAAAGACTGGAAGATGGTGGTGAGGACAGGTGTGAGTTCCTCACATAGTTCCTTAGGCAGTCTTGCTGATATGGAATCCGGGCCAGAAGTATTGTGTGGTTTGAGTCCCTTCAAGAGCTTCTTCACTCTTTGCTCTGTTACCGTGATGTCACGCATTGTCTGATGTTGACTGTGACCCATAGAGGGCATAGTGTTGAGGTGAA